ATTCTATGATTCTATGCAGTTCTTGGTGCTCCCATATCTATACCAAGATTCAACAATGATGCCTGTGCTTTGGTATCCTACAGATTTGCTAACTTTCCAGCTACCATCACCCACTACACACTTGAGATGAATTTGCTTTGCTGAAAACAAAACTGCTAAAATGGTAGGAAAGTGTTTGTTTGCTTATTCCCAGATCCCTTCAAAAAYGTCGGAACTAACAGAAAAATTAAGTGAGAAGGGAAATCGATGGTGATGCAGTGAAYTTCTATTTCTATTTAAAATGACAAAAGCTTTGATGCACCAGAAAGGAAAAGCCTTAATTTGATTGCTTATCTTCTTGCAACCAATTTACTAACATATATCTGTAGCTAATGAATTGAACTCAGATTTTTTTAAATCATTGTGAGCACAATATTTTATTGTGAGATCTGAATTCTTGCTCTTAAAAAAAATGAAAAATAGTATATTAGAAGTGAAATATTAGAAGGGAAACAAGTTTTACAGATTTTCATTTTCTTTTTTTTTTCTAAAAAAATCTTTTTAAAACTTTCCTGACATTGAATGAAATAGTTGTTGAAATGAAGGAAGCTGATATAATAAAATAATTTTGCTGCCCTTGCAGAAATGACAGGAGACATCTCAAGTGCACTAATCACTTCAAAAAGCCTCTGGGTAGAGCTACTTAGCCAGGGATACCTCTCAGCTCTGTAGTTYGACATTCTGCAAAAGAAAATAGGACTACCTGAAAAAATGATGTGCCCACTGGTCTCTTTACCACAATTTTTGAATATCTCTAAATATTTTCATGAATGAAYGATGTAAGAAGCAGTGCTAGCCATATCTTATTACAAGAATTATCTTCTACACTTTCAAAATACTTTTAATAAAGATCAGCAAACTATCTCAAAATCCCAAAGTTTTTGAATTTTCAAGTTTTCTAGGAGCTGTTGCATTTTTCCCATTTACGATTTAYCATTATGAGTTTTTTTCATCTGATTAGCCTTCTAATTTTTCAGGTCTTGGACCTGTCAATATTAATTTAACTATCAGATTAGACAATGTATTATGAATTATTGATCAGACAAAAATAATCTTGGACTAGCACCTTGGACCTAAATGTGTTTATACAGGCATCAGTAATAACAACCTCATCTTGGAAAGATTCATATGTGGAATTAATACTGAACACGTGAATAAATATAATGGTGTTAATAGAATCCTTAAAATGTAATGAAGTGCAGAATGAGGCCAACATTACTGTTATCGTGRCTATGTGTCAGACAACTTCATTTTGTGTATGAGCAAATATACGTTCCAAGTCTGGAGGAAGACAGAATTTTGTAACTCACTCCCTTCTCTTTCACGGTAGTTCACAGGCTCCCCGTCACCAAACCCACTCCCAGTTAACCAGCTCCTTTGACACTGCGGTGACCTCGACTAATATCCACCTCAACCACATCTCAATGTCTCATGTCGTGTGCCTTAGAGGCCTTTCTGAAGCAGAGATAGGGTCGACCCACTTCCTTGCCTATAGAATCAGTTATCTTATCAAAACAGGTAAAGGTAACTCTGGAATTACACGTTTTTKGAAACCTGGGCTGCATTTTGGCCATCAGCCACACGCTGTACACTGAACGGCCCGTCCTGTCTCCCTGCTCCCCTCAGCCCCCTCACCGCTGACGTTCTGACTGACTTCCTAAGGACTCCCAAACCAGTGGACATGGATTTCRTCTGTTTCAGTCCACAAACCTCGAGTAACAGATGCTTTTGTAAGGAAGAACACACAACTTTGCTTCCTGAAGTAATATTAAMTAGGTCATTAGTTTTTATCTGCTAAAGAATTTACAACAATTGCTGGAACTGGATTGGATCCCATGGGAAACAATTCACAAAACTCTCCATTTCTAACTGCACTTGGGTTCATATTCAAAGCTCTCTTCTGACTTTGAAATGTATTTTGCTTTATGCTCCCCAGTCCTCTGCACAGTAACAATAATAATGAGACACATCGAGAGCACGGTCTAATTCTCGCACGAGTTGACTGAGCGAGGATAGATGTGAACAAGGATGCTAGAAAATTAATCCCAGCAGTGAACATCAGTTTGTTTCCCAAGCAGAAAGGAACTCACAGCTATGAATGAATGAATAAAAATAAATAATATTAAAAAATAATTCTCCAGGCCAAAATAAATAATGCTATGAAACAAACAGATGGAATACAAAGAAGGAAACCAGCCCCTTCTTTTAAGTCTTACAAACAAAATTGCTTCTGTTTTCTTTGATCTGATCTGAGTTGCACTAAAGGTCAATGGACACTGGGACAAATATTGCTAAACGCTGTAACTCAGTGGATAGAAAGCGGCATGAAAGTTTGGCTTTATTGCATATAACACATCAGAATGATCTCACCAAAGTTACCAGCTGGGGACTTGCAAGCCACATTTACCAAATAAGGGAAACTGCTTCGTGCCTGGAATCTTTTCCCAGTTAGCTCACTGCGCTTTTCCTAGGATTTGTACAGTAATTGCAGAGGTCATTTTTTTTAAACTCAGATGGAGTAAATCAACAGGCTCCCTGGCGCAGAGCAGGGTTTGTGTAGTCTCTGGAGACAACTCAAGTTTTATTTAAACCAAGTGTGCACAGAAAAGGAAGAGCAGAAATATGCGCAATAAAAACAGAAGAACAAGTAATATAAATCAAGAAAAGTAAGTGATGTAGATTTGCATACTGCTGGTTTGATTACAAACACTGATGTTTTATGGAGCCTGTTTCTTAAATTCACTGGGTATCGTTAGGTTTTTTAAATACATGCAGATAATTGATTTTGTGGCATTCTAAAAAACCCTTGAACTTTGCACTCTGGGTTTATGCTGTACTTGCATTTGAAGTGTAGCTTCATGGTGTCAACAGAATAATACTTTGTCCTCCATATTTCTCTCTTTTATTTCTCTCAGTAATCATATGTTTTATCTAAATTTTATGTACTCTTGAATATGAAATAYAGTATTCTCCTTCTCTATATTAAACATAACCATTAAACATAACCATAACCAATGTCCAGCAAATATTTTTTTAAGGGTTTGCTCTCATATGCATCCCTATACCAAAGTCTGGCAACAGTACCAAGCTAATATTGATTCGTATTATGCACATAAATAACACAACTAGCTAATGCATTTTTTCCCTCCAAAACATTCCCATGTGCAGATTAAAACAGTACAAAAATGAGTATTCCAAAGTCCAATCAGTGTGTCAAGCTAGTATCCTAGGCTGCCCAAAATCCACATACCATCCACATAAATCCACATAAATTGCAGTAAGCATGAGAATAAGTGTTGACAAGTAGAAGYTCTATCCCAGATTGCTGGATGGACACACATAACTCAAAATGATCATTATTTAATTAAATTGTAATTAAATGGAGAAAAGTCCCTATTTTTATCTGGAAGGGATACAGAAAAGATACACTAATATTTGTACTACACTGACGTGAGAATTTTCTATCTGTTCTCTTGCACTCTATCATTAATGCTCAGTACTTGCTCATCCAAAAATGAAGGAGCTATCTTCAACCAGATCACAAAAATCTGACATTTTGATGCCTGATTGACATATTGAAATGGGATCTGAGCATGTCGTTAAACTCTGCTGTAATTCTTCTGAACTCTCTCTTCTCCCCAACATATCAAGAAAACCTCACAGCATGTTAGATTTTGAACAGGGTGTTCCTGAAGCTATAGGAAAAAAATGAAACTGTAACACAAAGAGCTCAATGATACAATTAAAAAACTACTGGAAATTAAAAAAAACCTTTATGCTGGGATTAAATTCTGATTTCAGCAGCCTAGTCAAAAACAAACTCCCACTTGTGCATCTAACAGCAGCATAGGGGTGGGACGAGAAAAGAATGCAGTTGTACACAGAAACATACTCAGCAAAAGAACATCCTTTTCACAGAAATCTGACCTCAAGTTCTCAGTAAAAATTCTTCTCACGTTTCATTTAGTCCCTGTGCAGAAGCAGTCTCATCTGTTTGCTAAACATTCACAGCAGCAGTAGAAGAAGTATAAGCCTTCAGTCTCTAACCTCTCTGTTTCTCCTCTGAGGTTGGCTGAGTATGGGACAAGTGTCTTATGTGTAAATCAAAAGTGGATTTTTTCCCCTCATTTAACCCTACGTACAGAGATKTCCCTGAAAATTTTATGACAAGTGCTAATACAAAGAGTGAAATGCCTCAAAACTATCATGTTTATGTAGACAGAAGGAACTGTTATTAAGCATACCCCCGGCTACTATAGGTTTTATGCATCTCTGGGAGACTGTGATCAAAGTAGACACTGGTGTCCACCTGAGACAGCAGGATCAAACTGAAGATAGCTCTTCTAGACTAGAAACTCATTTATTTTTCCTCAAGGCAAATGATTCCCTGGGCTGATTACTGATTCTTGATCTGGATAATCCGTGCTGTTCCTATAACATGGATTTAAAACTTAACACTAAAGAAACTAGCTTAAATTACCAATTGAAGATCTTCTATCGTGGACAAATCTCTGGGCAATATAAAGGTAACAACTGCTGCACTGGGAGAGAAAAGTTAGGGGAAAAGAGCACATGCCCAAAGCACAACAAATTCTGAAGGTCTTTATATAGGAGGTACTGCAGGGCCACAGTTCTCAAAGAAGATGTCTGAACCTCTTTGAGGTTGTGAGTTAGCCCAAGATACAAGGTAATGTAAATGCAGACATTAGAAGATAAACACAACTCCAGTGGTAAGAATGAGCAACAGTAACAACAGCTCCAGCCTACGCATGCACATAAGCAACTCCACTTTTGAATCCTGTTGTTTTCTGCAGCAAAGATTTCCGTCTAACTTACTAATACATCAATGAGTACGATACCTATTGTGTCTGAAAGCACATCCCTTCAGTCCAGCTTTCAACATACGCCGATGAAGTCCACTAAAGATGGAATGAAAATGAGTATTTTTCTCTGCCACTTACTTTTGCTGCTCCTATTTGCTCCTTACGGAACTTCTCCAGTGGTGCTATCAGCACGTCATTAGCGTTCTGGATCTGCAAAGTTAAACAGAAAGCACATCTTTTCAATACAGTGCATCTGCAGAAGGTTGGAGTCACGGTAACTCCACCAATTCTCAGTATTTAAAAATTTAATGTTCAATATTCTGGTAAGAACATTTGAGTGGGGCTTAAATAATGATGACTTCTTATACAGAGCATACTACTACATGCTTGCTAGTCTTTAATGGACCATTACCTTGAATAATTAAAACAACTGTAACTAATCATAAAGCAAATTTATGCACAAATGGATTTCTGGTATTCTACTTCTGCTTGACGCATCTATCTTAACACTAGAACATAAAAAAAAAAGAAACTTTCCAAGCATATACTTTGGTAGAGCGGAGAAGACAAGCACAGCAGTAATGACAGCACTGTTGGAAAAGGGAAGAGGTTGACAAAAGTGACAACTGAATCATTCCAGCTATCTCCTTGGATCATATACCTAGTTACACTGAACAGCGAAGAGTAAGGAAGAGAACTATAAATAAAACTGAATAACGTACAAAATACACTAAGTTGGATTTCCTCAGTGGTTTAGTTTTTCAGCTAGCTTAAAATACCCTGCAGCTATTAGCTAAATCAAGATTCCAAATTAATCACATTTTCCCCCTCATAGTCTTTGTTTATTTAGTGTAGACTCAAACCTGGAAACCCCTCTCTGAAGGTAATTCACCAGAAATAAATTGTCCCTAGTCATTTGGGCTGGAGATACATGGGTAGTAGAAAGTAAACACGGGTCTTGCCATTGTGCGGTATGCCAAAAAAACTATTATGACTTAAGCATGTGCCTTCCAGGGACAGACAGAGTAATGAACTAAATACTGTTTTCCAAGAAAATAAGGAAGTAGGAACTTGCATAAAACCCAGGCTTATGACACACTAGAATCATTACACAGTGACCTTCCTGGGAGGGCATATTCATTTTTTTAATGAATTATTTCACTTAAAATTTACAGTATTTTAAAAAATATTTTGCTACTCTTCTACTTTTATCATACTCATGATAATAAAAATTGCTATTTATAACTATTAACATTACCTTTTCATAATATATTTTTTCTATTTTACAGGAGTTTTTTTGCAGGCAGTTTTATTTTTGCTACAGCTTCCTACTCTAGAACCACATCTTCTAACACATGGCTCATTCAGTACAAAAACACAGGTTTTATACATCTTTCCTGAAAGCTGCCAAAATATCAGAGATAAAGCATAATAAAACACATTATAAATCTCTATTATAGTAACTATATGCAAAATCCCAGATTTTCTGCACGAGGAACTTCTTTGCTCCTCAGTAGGCCAGTCTTTACGATAGTCATCACATCCCTCATTTGTGCTTTGGCGTGCGTGGTGGACTGGGCAAAGCTAACATGCAGCTGAGCCAAAGGGGAACAAACATAGCTCTTGTAACTCTCCTTTAACAATAAACGATAAGTATCATTGCACAAAAGCTTCCCGAAAGGCTGTATCAATGAACATATATAGAAGAGAAATAGTAAAATACAAGTTCCCTCCCCCCCCCCCCCCCCCCCCCCAATAAAGCTTTCCAACATTGCTATTTGAAAGGCTATAATGCCCTTTGCAGGGCAGCAGATTTAGGGAAGGTCAAGATCCTCTCTGACATGCTAATGTAAAACGCTCAAGGCAGCAAGAGCAGCATTCGACAGGTTTGATGATGCAGCAATCAGAACAGGCCTCATTTACAAGCAGACATCAGGCCTTCAGCACGAGAAGCGTGGCTTCCCTGAGCTTCTATTGCCTTCAATGTATGTCATCAGTTAGACTGGAATAAAATGCAAGGCCATGTTATTTTCCAAGTAGGCATCTCCCCAAAGATGAAGACAGTTAGGCAACGTCTAGCAACATGAGACCCTACACTTTCTAGGAGGCAACGTGCAGGCACATAACAAAAGATAATCCCTATCGCAAGGGCTGCAAGAAGGCAGGTGAAGGTTTATACGGCTGCAAAAATGTTAAGTGCTCCAAATCATGCAAAATTGCGCTGTGTACATCTGGAAAGAGCAGCTGGAAGTTTTGACAGCTTACATGCATGGATGGCTTTTGGCATACACTGAAAGCACAAAAGTTTGCTGGAGTCATGGGCCCAGAAATGTCGACGTATTTTTTTCCTTCTTCACACACAAAGTTTCTGTTAATGACTTGAATTCTAACAACTATATTTCGGTTTCTGAAAGCATGCCACACACAGCAATAATACATCAGAGACTTCACTGTTCATTTAAAAGCCATTCATATTATTGAATTAGTTACTGCAGATGTCAACGGTCATTGCTGATCTCCAGACTAACTCTGCTTGGAGCTGAACGTGGCTCTTCACATTGCTCAAAGCTGTCACATTTAGGTAATTTCCACGCCAAATCAGGAGACCTCACTTCATATATTGCCCTCTTGACAGTCTTAAAATGTCTGAAACACACTTACTACTACTACCAGTCTTATTTGACTGCTGCAAAGCGACTGCAAAATTTTGGAAGAGAATCCTGCTACTGCCATTGGGAATGGGAATGCTTGTAGGAAGCATATGGCATCCTGTAGAGTAATCTAGGAAGTAAGCGGCCCAGCTGGATTGAAGCCCAATATTATTCACTTCTGTGCCACTGGGGGAGGACAGTGGATATTGCAAGAGTAATTAAAAGATGGTGCTCACTTCATCAAGACCGTCTGCTGCCTCTGAGCAGGACTGCTGAGCCACACCAGCTACAAGTTGTCCCTTTGCCCAAAACTTCTCCCTTCTCCTGAAGACAGCTTAGATGCAGCACCTCTCTTCCTGACAAAATTATGAACTTGATAACTAACAGGCATTTGATTTGGGAAGAACCTGCCAATGAAGTGTCAGGGAGATTGGCATCCCTGGCAGATGCACTTCGGAGGTCTGATATGTAGCCCTGGGCAAAATGCAGAGAGCTCAGCTCYGCAAAGGCTCCTGTGCACCCGACCTCGGCCTGCTTTTGAAACCAAAAAGCACAGCAAAGAGAAATTTCGCCACATGTATTTATCTATTTATTCATTTATTGTCATTCTTGGACAATTTTATTAGTTGAATTGTTCTGTATTGTCCTCTGGACATATTTTTAGGTAGAAAAGATTGGCCTACAGCCARTTTCTCTTTCCCTTCAAGTTAGGAATACAGTCCTCCCACGACCATGTGTACAGCAATATGATTTTTGGGATAATCCAGTACTTTCTTTGTGTAGCTGTAAGAGTAGCTTTATCCTGCCAAGATGATAATCCCTTTCTCATGCAGTTAACTGTGTGAGGTTGAAATCAAAGACACAGGAAACAGGCAAATACCATCAAAACAACCGTAAATAGCAACTTCAGAAACGCATGTTTATAACATCAATTTTTCCTTAAAAACTTATTCAAATTGATCACATCTTTATATATATATATTAAAGTCTGTAACGATTTAAAGGCTTTCTTTACCCAACAGAGATAGTGGATACTCCATCTCCCAGTGCTATGAGTCCCAACCAAATAATGTGATCTTTCTGATAATTTCTCACCCTTCTTTTAGATGACAAAAAACAGAAGTAGAAACAACAACAMAAAAACCTCCATGCAGTTACAATTTTGGGTCAGTTAACAGCCTAGACATTTAACAGGTAGAGACATAACAGGAAAATGATAGTTTGACCATTTAGAAAGTTTTATTAGGCCAAGTAGAAAGAGATTTTCCCAAATTAGAGAACTTCTAAATTTGATATATGTAACTCCCTCTATTCAGCATTATTAATAAAAAATCATCAAATAAGTACCACCATACTCACACTGAATTAGTTAGAACTCTTGAAAAAACATTTAAAAACACTCTTCATAAGCCAGCTTTGACAATTTATGGGGTCATCTTCAGTCTGGCTAAATACAGCACTTCAGTATAGCCTGACATCAAGCCTATGTGATAAATCACCTTAATTGTCTTTTCTCCTTCAGATTCTTCCACCTTTCCAGCCCCTTCTCCTTCTTTTCAGAAGGCTGGAAAGGAAGCCTATAAAATTGCATTAAGGTACTAACAAGCAGATTAAACTGTATTTTTCACAAATCACACACACACACACACAAGAAGTTTCATTGTTACTAAAAGTTCACTCAGTAGAACAGCGGGAAAAAAATCAATATCAACTAACATTCTTSAGTCTTAATTAGTATATCACATTAGAAAGGGAAGCATAAATGTTTTTATAAACCTAACTGATATTTTATATTTCTAGATTTTCTTAAATTTAACTTCTGGAATAAGTTTTCTATCACACATTATGTATTAAATAAATTGCTTATGCAAAATCTGCATTTTGATTTTTTCTGGTTTCAATTTTTGCTTTTATGTTTTCATCTCCATACAAATACATTTAAATGATTAATATAATATTTTGGTATGAGCAATGTGTCAACTTTGAATCTGAAGTAGTGCATTCTGCACATGAAAATCTTACACAAGTAATTCAAAATAAATTCTCGTAAGAGCTTACATCRTATCACACCTCTCAGTTTGCTATTTATGAAACACAGKTTTTTTTGCAAGAAAAAAAMCCAACTCTTTTAATAAAACTTACTTCACCTTCTGTCCAAATTGACTACTATTTCCCCCCCGCTCCCTTTTTTTTTTTCCCCCTTTACTCCTGTTTCCCCAGCTTTCACAGAAACACAGTGTAATTCAGATGAGGAAGGACCTGGGCAGGTTAACTTTCTCAACCTTCCTGATCAAAGCAGGCTCAGCACTAGACTCAGACCAGGCTGCTCAAGACACTGACTAGGCAGATGGAGCTTAAAAACCTCCAAGGACAGAGACCGCCCAGCCTCTCGGGGCAACTTCTTTCAGTGCTTGACTGTCTTTATTTTCCTTACTTTAAGTTRGAATCTTTTGTTTCATGTCCTCCTTCTGCGCACAGGTACTCTTCAGGCAAATATAAAACGCCGATCTCAAATATAAAATATATCAGCCTTGAGGCAATAGCTTGTATCTGTGCAAA